GTCTGGGTGACTCTTGCTATCAGAGTGGAATAAGGCTTCCAGTTGGTTTTGATGTTGAAACAGAAATCGATGACAAGCCATTCATTACTATTCCAATGAGAACTAGCATCGTATATTGTTGAAACAGCAAATGCAGTCACCAGTGTCCACAGAGGGGAATCCTGACGAATGATCCTGAAATATGGAAATTAGTGCTTTCACATGCCTCACTATATTGCGGCGCAGTTTGGCGAAGGGGGGGGGCATTTCGCACTATCATTGCTTCCCTAGTTCCGGTTTACAAGTCTCATTTGGCGAAACCTGTGAACTCTTGTGAAGCTGGAGCAAGGTCGTCAAGCATGGTAAAACCTGTCAACTCGAGAAGAGGCTGTCTAGATAGGTCGACACGTCGATGGGAAGTAGCAAAAGTGCAAAATGCCCCCCCCCGTCACCGAACTGCGCCCTATATCGCTTTGCCATTATTTGATTTCGGAATATTATTTCAGGGGTTTCTGGTAACATTGCAGCGGTAGGGAGGCTTGTCATACCTCAGTTCAGGGCTGCGTTACATTTTACTTCACCCATGTATACTCTGAAGGCAGTAAAATCAGGTGACTGCATAACACAAGAGTGTATGTGAGAAAACAATCTCGAACTCAAACGAGGCCATAGGCAAATGAAAGACATGTGCGTTACAGTAGTGCAATGGATGAGCATAAGGCTCAGGAATCATGGACGTGTGTTCGAGTTCTTCCTGAGGTAGAAGGCCTCAAGTAAAATCCGTAGGCCAGGGTAACGAACTGGGTCAAGGAGTCCAGCTGTAGACGTGTCTGTTCTGTTTTGGAAGAGCGTCGGGTTGAGGCATGTTGAAGGGGTGTACAAGACGGCGATTTCATTTGACACTGTACCCTACTCTCTTCGTAAACTACTTTCATCACTAGTGAAGCTGGGAAGTAGATCTATAAATTTTTGGAGCAATCTTGATTTAATGGTGATTCTTCTCGCAAAGGATAGCTTGGTTCTGTCGTGGTAAATTAACTAGAAGGATTTATGTCCACAATTATCACGGTCGTCTTCGTGAAGCAACTGAGTTTCCCTGGATACGCCACGTGTTTGATCTCTATTCAAAATCGTGTAAGCATTTCCTTGGGTTGTACACTCGCTAATAGATGTTTAGAACGATATCGTCTTCACCCTGAATTACCTCCACAGAGGAAAGGAGGTTGTGGTTCTCGTATCACGTCGTCAGTCCAGGAGCAGCGCAAGTTATATTCAAGAACTTCCGAGCCCGAGGTGCACTCTGGCGTTAAATCCCTGAAAACTTTGAAAGAACACGAGATCGACCACCAGACCAATGGTCATACTTTTCCAGTTAAAGCTTAGAGCGAAAGAAAGGACAGGCCTTAGTGTTCCTCGAGCTAGAAGAGACCACTGGACCACTTTGTCTCGCACAAGGCCAACGTTGCCGGAATTCACTGTTGAAGGGGACAACCTGTGGTTCCATGTGATCATTCGCATGATTTGAGAATAAGAAAACTGAAACAGAATAGGAGAATCTAACCAGAACTCACCGTCGTTAGACCTTCCGATAGAGCTTTCATGGCACAACATGAACTGCATCTGCAACGACCTATATTGTGATCCATGTCCTTTTCTTTCTTTAGGTACGCATTCCACGGTAATGTGTGGGTGGGGAAATAGGCGATAAACATAAATAGTGAGCTTTCCCCGATGGCGTGCTACTACTCACTACCGTGTTGGAGCGGGAGGAGCACACCATTAGGAAGGATTTCTGTACATTGTCCATTTCTCTACTCACTGACCATTTTCTACGCACATGTGGTTGCCAGGGTGTCTGTCAATAAGCATGGAGGTTGCCTACCTGGCCAGAACATTGCCATTTCTATCCGAGCATTCGGCTCTGGAAAAGACTCCGTCTAGCATAGTTATCACCGAAGTGCGGCGTGAGCAACCTAAACTGTGTATGTGCAATTTTAGAATAAAATTTGGCTATCTACTGAAGTTTTTCTAGCGAGCTCTACTCAAAAGAATGCTCATTTTTGTCCCTGCCCTAGGATTGCCATAGTCCTGGTTAGCTGTGACGATGCTGATTAACTTACTGAATCCACACGGTAGTCTTTCATTAGCCGGAACGAATCGTCCATCCTGAAACATATTAACCTTACCAGAAATGATCGGAGGGAGTGGTCAGGAAAGCCTAAGAAATGTTAATGAAACGATTTCTGACGAAATGTCCTGCGACACTTTGAGCAAATCATAACAAATCGTTCCAGAAAAAAGTGAAACATATTGTGAATGTGCAGGTTGGCACGCTTGCCATGTGCTTTTCCTAAGGGGGCGATCCCTGAATTGACTCCCGCCCAGAACAACCAAGTCTTTCAACCTCCGAGACGGTCAGCTGGTAGGAGATTCGTCTGGAACTGTGACTTGGGCATCGGCTGTCTCACCTTAGTCATTGTATAAGCCGCATCGCATCCAGTTCATTCTAGTCACTGCTATTCTGAATGAAAGTGGAACGTATGCCGCATTTCCAGAAGGGTTGATCAACAGCAAAGCGTAGGCGGAATGTATCTTTTGAAAGTTCCTGAGTGTTCCAACAGACATTATCACCGCAACGAACGGGGCTACCACCTGCACTGCACCAAGGGCCTTTGGCTTCTCTCACATAAAGTATCGCGACTGTGGGTCTCGGTGACGGTGGCAAGGTTATTTGCGTAAACCATGCACATAGCCTCCACAGGACCATGTAGGCAGCAAGCCACCTGCAGAGCCAAAAGCAGACCGATATGGAAAGATCGGTTCTTCTTTTTTGTTGATGAAGCGGCAAAGAAGCAGCTGAAGGCAGGTATGTAGTGACAAGCACGACTCCCTTTGAAAGATTCCAAAAGGCCAACGTCATATACAAGTGTCAATGGAATTGGCCCAATGTCTCCCCCTTCTCCGAACGTATGTCCGTATTTGATGGTGGTACAACGTTAAAATCTGATAAACCAGGTAATCTCTTCTCATCGCAGCCATTATATTTATGAGATGACACAGTCAAAGAAGCAGTTCGTAAGATGGATAGGTGCTCTCGTTATCACTATGGTCACTTTGTTGAATGAAAAACCTTTTTCTATGAAAGAGCATGCAGTCTATTGCAGTGGGATATCGCTGGACATTTCGCCCAATTTAATACTGTATTTTCTGACATTAAAGCTCCTATCGCCACAATCAGTCATGGAGGTGCACTGAGCCCGCCCACTGCTGCCTTTACTACCGATAGTGATGGGTTTTAGTGGTCGATAAGAATAAAACAACCAGCGTCGGAAACGGTGTCGAGGGTGGGCTCACGCTCCTCTCCTACGACGGCCCGACTGATTGTGATGATATCAACTGTATATTGATGGGAAACCTTATCTACCTGCAGTTGAGCAGAGGCGATAGCTACCAACGCAGTGATGACGATGAGTGACATGTCGAAACTGAAATATGATAGTTTCTTGAGGAGCAGTGTTTGAAAAGCATGTTTGAGTTTCTCGCGAGGACTACGTACCATTTCACTCATCAAGCTTTCACATCTGAACTGAAGAATCTGTTTCTTCTTCAAATGCGCACGAGTCCGCTGATCGCAGTAGGGCGGTCAAGACAATCGTAATTTGTCACTCCGTTACTCTCGTAGAGAGACAGTATGAAAATCATAATTTGCCACTTCATCGTGCGCGGCGATGGACGCGGCGTGTGTTAGCCTGCCGGTTTGAGCACCGACTTAATGTAGACGCTATATCGAGAGCACTTATGGCTACTTTTGTCTATACGTGGTCCGTTCTTGCCGTCCACGACCTAGAAACGAAGCCATATACGAGCACGACCTCGTCCATTGCGCTCGCGAGGGCCACACCCTCAACATGAGCGCGTAGCCGGGTCTATTTAGGTTTTTGCGTCCCTCTCACTGGTGGACACATCATCCTTTGTAGACTGGTGAAGAAGAGGAACACACCGATGAGGGAAGCGCAGTGGTTCAATAATCTCCACGCAGTGGTTCTAGTGGGTTTTCCACCGATCCACACTGACCGTATTGTTCCACCCATACGATCAGTACCACAGTACGGTGGAGGAAGGTTCGAAAACGTACACCGTGCACGGTCGGCACGCACCGCGTACTCCTTTCGAAGCTAAATGGTGAGGGCTCACACTCCTAGTTAGCAGAGCTAGAATATCCCTCCCTCAATTCGAGCAGCATTGCTTTTTTCTACTTCAGCTTTCATGACAAAGAATTTTCGTCCGACACTGGCTGTCTCCTGATTAGCAGTGCGACTTTAGAAGGTTCTGCATAGTGTTTCCATGGCTCGTCATCCGTTCACTTTCGCCCGATTAGTAGCGCGAGGTCCCAGTATTTTATTATTTCTTTCACTTTTGCTGGCATCCCATAGACAATGAAGAACACTCGTTGTGCTGAAGAGAAGGGTGAGCAGGTTCAAGTTCCACGAGGTGAAGTCATGCACTCAGATTCCCTCTAAGATTTATTAGATTCGGGCGTGTGCTTGGTTTATGGAGAGACAGCGGAAACCCAACAAAGGCCTATGTGAGCAATTCATCGCCATACCCCATTCTTCCCCATGGAACCCTGGAATTGAGTAGCTGGCATTCGAGGCCTTGCACCACGTCCGTCTCATCTCCTTAGTGATCTTCATGCTGCCATAACCTCAATGTGTAAAAAAGGAGCGATTAGTCTAAAATACTAGCTCTTGTCTATAAATAGTGTAGAAGGGCACGTAAACTGGGTTAGTTCATCTTCATCACACGAGAGATTTCCGACCTTTCCATTAAAGACAGCCCCCGCGCTCGAGTAGTACATGGTCGTCCTTCCTTGTGCAGGTAGTTCAGCCCCCAAGCTAGATACTGTCCCACTCTCGCGACTCCACAGTGAGCGAGGAGCGAGCTACAGCCGCTCAAAGTTCTAGTTCTAACGCCCGCCCAGTTGGACCGCCCCACTTGCTAGCTGCCCTCTGACGGAGAGCCGCTCAGTTGTTCTTTGTTGGGACGGCGGGCATTAATCGGAACTGCATGTACTTTTTGCTGACCGCGCTCGTGCCCATGAAATAATTCTGCTCTCCTTTATTACATTTTATTCATTGGGAGCACATACAGTCAACTGCAACCCATCTCGCAAGGTAAAAATCACGAGTGATGCAATTTCTGTGGTGCAAAAGCTCGACATGCACTAAAAGCTGCACACTGCACGTAACCCCAGATCCAAAACCATGTTTTCCGAATTTTTCATTTTCTAAGGGCCTTTTCCTCTTCGTGTTCTTTGTGTTTTTCGTATCCTTTTCATTTGATTGGATGTTGCTCAACTATCTGCCGGAAATGCAAATCGCGACTATGTGAGCCAGGGGCTTGCCATAGATCGCCAGGCGGTGATACACTGTATGGTGAGCCAACTTTGGCTGGGGACTTCTCTTGGAGTTGCTCTCGTGGCTTCCTTCCTTTCATGAGGAATTACTATTCAGCCATCTGTTTCATAGCTGAACACCACAATTAGGCTTTGAGACTATTCTCGCGGTGGACCCGACGGCGTCTTTGATGGGCGTTGCCTTTAACAAGTATACAAGCGACTTACTAAGATAATAGTACGATGAGTGCACAGACATAAATCACACTGTGGGAGCTGCTATTTCAGCTATTAGATGACGTGGCTGAAGGAAAAACGGACAAATGAACAACAGCGTGAGCTACAAACGGCCTAAGTTGTGGAGTAGTCTTTTATCGAAGTCGTTGTAAACCCAACATTCTTAACTCTCGCCCGAAAGTTCGGACCTCGAGAGTTGCGCGGGGCTGTATTTGTGGCCCCCCCCCCCCCCCCCCCCCCCCCCCCCCCCCCCCCCCCCCCCCCCCCCCCCCCCCCCCCCCCCCCCCCCCCCCCCCCCCCCCCCCCCTTTAGAAAAAAGGGTATTGCCGTACTCTCGACCCGGCGACTGTAGGCGCATTAGGGAGATATGCGCTTCGAGACATGCTTTTGGCTCAGCATAGACAGGATGACAGCTGTGATGTACTAGGAATGTCTCTCAAAAGCGTATTCCTACTAATTTGCAGAGAGCGTAGCAAAGTCCCCCCTCTCTGTGGTACGGTGTCTGCGTTCAGTGTGTCAATACATAGATGGAGGCTAAACCTACATTGTGCTCGCTTATTTGTCGCTATCCTCGTCTGGCACCGTCTTAAGAAAGGGAAAGAGCGCATTAAGAGAAAAGGCACCAAAATGCTAAGCCCGCCCTTCATGATCAGCATGTTCGTATTTCTCAGCTTCTGTAAAGGATTAGTGGTGATGAGCAGAAGGAATGAGAGCATGCAGGAGATTCCAAGAAATATGCTCGAAATTAATTCATCGCAGAAGCATGCACAACACAGAAGGTCTTTTCATTTATAAGTTGTGCTATGTTTGAAAAACGGCTTCGTCATAGGTGGTGGCCAGCCAAAATAGCATCGGGATCTGCGACAACACATGCCACTCTAAAATGTCGAGTTTCCAACAATCTGAAAATCGAGAATTTCCAAAAAAAACACTGAGTGTTATCAAATGATGGACGGTTTCTCCTAAGAGCGCTTGAGGTCTGATATAGCGCTGGATTCAAGGGAATTCAGAAGTTACCGGCTTGAATAACATTGAACTTTACGTACCGAACTACCCTTTGATCGCTTTGGATCGCTCCATATAGTCCCAGTTTTGATTAATCACGTACCATAGTGTGTCGGATTGTTCCTGGAACGTTTCATATCATATCTCGGAAAGGAGGAGGGCGTGAATGCGCTTTGTCTGAGCGCGGCGGCGGCTGAGCTTCGGATTGCTTAACGGGTGGTATTTTCATTGAGACAAGTGTAGTCATGTCTTCGCTCAACACAAGGCGGGATGACTGTTGGCCCTCAAAACACAAATCTTACGCCATGTTCAAATGGAAGACACACCCATACCCCTTTAGCTCCGAAAATAGACTGTGTTTTCAGTCTATCGGACTGTAGGTACCTTAGCTTGGTAGCAAACATAATTCTACTGATCGAAGGGAGTTGGTGTCCATCCTGCCGCTCTTGTGACCATTGTCCATCTACCGATGAGGTGCCGTCCCCTTCTAGCCAACACGCCTAGTGAAACGAAAAAAAATAGGTTTGTGTAGAAGTTATTCTGTCATACACGCCAGTGCAGTGTGAGTAGGTGTAACTGACACTTATACATTAAGGTGCGTCCCAGGAATGAGGACTCCCACTAGTTTACCTTTAGCTTCGCCTGAATCTTATCCTCTTCCGTCATCATCCACCGATTGTCGAACCGATCAACAAATCCGGCCCTAAAATATTGCTTTTATGTCTCACTTTTCAAGGAGCCTGTATGACTCACTCTTCCTCTTCGTCCTCCTGCTTACTATGTTTGGCTTTCATATTTGCAGTTTGGCTCAGCACCTAAAATAGTGAACAGAGTAGTAGCTCACTCGGCGCTTGGCAGACAGGTTCGTTCAGAGCTCTCTTTATAATGAGAAATCTTTTTCAAATCGTTCTTTGCACATGACAGGGGGACGTGCGTAAAACGGAAGAACAACTTTCGCTTTTACGACTTTTACGTTACTTTTGCCTCACTAAGAATGCAAAAAAACTAGTGCAAAATGATTTGAAGACCGATTTTTCCCACAATGACACAACACAGCGGAAGACTTAGCACCGCCAACAAGAGCCTAGTGAACTGTGCCTTCAAGTGCACGATGAGGAACTTGAAGAAAATTGTTTCAGTTGTTCAACAAACCTGCCCGCTGCATGCGTCCAGTAGTCTGTATATACCATTTTCACTTTAAATTCACCCTTTTTCAAACCAAATTCACCCTTTTTCAAACCAAATTCACCCTTTTTCAAACCAAATTCACCCCTTTTCAAACCAAATTCACCCTCACTTTTCACATCAAATTAACCACTTATAAGGGCGGGCATCATCAAGCAGATCATGCCAGACATCACTGCGAGCCCCGCCCCGACGGCCACGCCCACTTGTCAGCGCGGACATAGATTCTCAAATCTTGTTTCATAACTTCTGCTTTTGCTGTTTCCCACAAACACTTTGACTGGAAACGACCGGGAATTGACACATGGCCGACCCGCCCATTTTCTAAAAGGTTTGGCAATCTAGGCTGACCAGCTCCCACTTAACTTTCAACTGAACTTTCGATGATTTTTTCAAAATTTTGCATTTTAGGGCTGCTGCGTGAAGCCCCGCGCACTTTGAGAGGCTCCGCCCACTTTGAAGAAGTCCCGCCCATTTTTCAAAAACGGTGCAAATCGCCAGGATAGACCTTGCTTGCATTTAGGACCTCGTCCGATTCATCGAACAAAGAAAATCCGGCAAAGTTTATTCCACGAATGCTCAGCAGTACCCTAGCATGCAAGCCGAGGCTCTATACTGCCGATTTGCATCATTTTTGAAAAGTGGGCGGGGCTTCTCAAAAGTAGGCGGAGGCTTCATGATGGCGCGGGCTTCACGCAAATCACCCTAAATGCAAAAATTTTGAGAAAATATCGAAAGTCCGCGAAAAGCAAGTGGGCGTGGTCAGCCTAGATTGCCAAATCCTTTAGAAAATGGGCGGAGTCGGCCAGCTTCTAAGTGCCCGGTCGTTTCCAGTCAATGTTTGTGGAAACGCAAAAGTCAAAGTTAGTAACAGATTTGAATTCTACTTACAAGACAAGGGTAGCTGCCGCTGTGGGCGTGGCCGTCGGGGCGGGGCTCGCAGTGATGTCTGGCATGATCTGCTTGATGATGCCCGCCCTTATAAGTGGTTAATTTGATGTGAAAAGTGAGGGTGAATTGGTTTGAAAAGGGGTGATTTGGTTTGAAAGGGGTGAATTTGGTTTGAAAAAGGGTGAATTTGGTTTGAAAAAGGGTGAATTTGGTTTGAAAAAGGGTGAATTCAAAGTGAAAATGGTATATATAGGGTAAGCAAGTTACCTTAGCTCCCAGGATATTCAATGGCGTACGCAGGAATCGCTTCTGGCACGTGTTTCCCTGAGGAGTAATAGTAGGAAGTGGACATACTTGGCGTGGATCACATGTCATTACATCCAGATATTCGCTCAAAGCTTGCTGAAAACTAATAGCATCTCTCTTCCGAATCTATCGAATCAAAAAAAAGTAGATGAACAGCAGGTCAGACTCAGATTCATGCTTGCAGCGGGCCTTTTTGAGAGGGTGACACGGTCCACGTACAGTAATTGGGTCAGGCAAGTCTTCCCCGCACGGGCGCCAGCTCATTGTATGAATGAGCTCATTTAGGAGAGTTAATCAGTGTTAACCAGACATCGGTTGGCCGTCAAGATTGCGAGATGTCTAAGCAAAATAGCATTCAGAACGGTGCCATAATGCTGAATGGAAACAAGTTGCGTTGCATATTCTTTTTGGCGAGATTATCACCATTCCTGTCACGAGAGCGACTGTAATTAGTCGAGGTGTAGAATTTATTCTATTTACTCAACTGAATGCTAATTCAATTTTTTTTGCATTTGAATTTAGAAAGCCTCATGAGTGATTAATTCCAACGATGTGCAACTCGTCCGAACTCCCGTAAAAAGAGCGCGCAGGTAACAAAATAGGGCAACAAAAAAGTTTTGGCATCGTTTTGGCATGCATCGGCCCCTACCGCTAGCGGGTTTAGTTGGCTCCACTCGCTTGTGGATAACTGGAATGCAGTTACGCGGTGAACTCGAAAGACAACCCTCAACATGAGATGATTGACTTGAGATGATCAAAAAGGAGTGAAGCACGAGCGACTCTGAGACTTTACGGAAGGTGACTGCACACATTTGGGAAAAGTGAAGAAATGCTCGAAGTTGGCGGAAGCAAGTGAAGTGAAAGCAAGTGTAGTGGAGATTTTTCCGCGAACTCCTTTCGTATGGGCTTGGCTCGCGGGATGGATCTACACCTCGCTGGAATTGATCTCCTACAATCAATCACTCGTGAGACTACGGTTGGCTCAAATGTTCTAAAATTCGGAATGGTTTTCATGTTAGCACGTAATTAGGCAAACACAACAACCGTGACACTCTGAAACAACCACAGTGTAGTTCGCTGCGGACGGTTGGGCGTGTCCGTGCGGCTGCGTTTGGCGCGGTGCCAAACTCGTTCTACACCAGTTGTTGAAGCGGGCAAGTGACAATACTGTATCATATCCTTCGTATTACTCGTCTTCTACCACTTTTTGTCGCATGCGCTCTTCAACAAGAAGGCAGAGAACGGCTTTGATAGGGTGACACACTCATACTGGCTGACACGCCCAACCGTCCGCAGAGAAGTATAGTGTAATTCGAGTCAATTTCCCGGCAGCGACTGCATATTTGTTTCAAATAAAAGTCTCGAAACATACCAAATATTTACACTGCTTCCCTGAGTTCAAAACCTTTGTTGGCTTTATTACGGCAAGGTTTTCAAGAGCCTTTGAATAGTTCAACATAGCATAATCAACCTGGAACAATAGATTAAGAAGAAGCGAGAACAAACATGACAAAAGTAGACAAATTCCCTCCAAAAAACTGTAGTTTCGTTGCAGGCATATTTCTCGATTATTTGCAAGAACTGAAGCCTTGCGTGGGGAAAGGTGGTGTGGGCTGCGATAGGCGATCATGTGCCAGTAGCTCATTCAAAAGTTGCAAGGTAAAGCACAAGCTTGCTCAAGTATCTCTTATCAAGGGCAGGTACCGTCATGCACCTTGCTAGTGATAGGGGCCTAACGGTACATGGACTGGAACGCTCCCCTGCAGATTTTCCACCGATTGCAGGGGCCCCAGGGGTGAAGAAGACCGCCCTGGTTGCGATCCAATACAGCAAGCGTCAAACCTATTGGTGGCGAAGCGGGCTTTCCACCACAGATAGCATTCTCCGCAGCAAAGGCGATTCACACGCCTTCACGTTTGCAGGGACCATAATCGTAACTCCACCGCGCTCTGATGCCTGTCATCTTACTTGTTTGCTCTCTCTCCCTCTCTCTCTGCTCTTGTATGTTTTATCGCCCAAAACTTGAGCAAACTTCGGCTCTTCCTAGGGACAAGAATAGCCTTATTTAGGGCGCCTTCCAGTGTTTCCTGGTTTTTTTCTTCATCGCCAGGTCAACTATCATACAGTCCTCATCATTGCAGACCGGTGGGGCGGGTGAGCCGCGCTGCGTGTGACTCGGCTGTGACGCGGCAGCGATCATCACAGCCGAGTCACACGCAGCGCGGCTCACCCGCCCCACCGGTCTGCAATGATGAGCACCATATACATTTCGGATGTTCAACCCTTCACCACAACAGCTTTGAAAGCTTATCGTGGAAGGTGCCTCTGACGTGATATCAACTTATAGGAAGTAAATCGGCGAAGCGAAAAAGGCTGATCCTTAGATTATTCAAGGTGTTGTATAATGCCTTGCAATTATTGTAAGAAACAGCAGACTAACTTGCTTGAAACTCCTCACAGTATCTTCTTGTGGATCGTACAACATTGTATGATTAGCCCATTGTTTGAAGAAACACCTAAATTAACAATAAGCTGAACTCCATGTCACAATTAGGGCGCGGAACCCTCTTTCCCCGTTTATCTGCCAATACCCTTTTGTATGCCTTGTATGGGCTATCCCCCGCCCTGCCTGAAGATTTTGTAGGGCAAATTCTTTCATAGGAAACGCCATTTCATGTTCAACAATGTGTCCGATGTTGTCCATTGTGTTGTAAGAGCACTAATTTTCGTGGACCCGAAGAGGGGCTCAAGCGTTAAACGTCCTGAAGTGCTGTCACTGCATACATAAACTGCCTGAACTGCTGAGATAAGACGAAATGTCCAAGCTCATCCGTTCGATGTTGATGCCTCAGGAATGCCAAGGCAAACGGCTTCAGCAGTGAGATTGCTAATATCCAAAGCTTTCGTGAGAGCTAGAAATGTCGAGTTTTCAGCGCTAATTTAGTAATTCCTGGAGGTCGCTGAACATCCTGCTCTTATTCGGAATACTATCAGCTATACTGGCTTATACAACATTTTGCAAAAACTGGCCAGCGTACAAGTGAGTATTTTTGTCCTCTGGGACAGTACCAGTGACAGTCACCCCGAAGAGATGGAATGCTTTGCTGGTGCGGCGCTCAGGCATGAGCATGTGAGCATACGAAAGGCACACATGATCCATGTGTGCCTTTTACATGGTGCTGGGCTGTTATTTGTGGAATTCCAGATTTAATACTCACCTGCACTGGTCACGTACAGCGACCGTACACCCATACTTATAGTGGTTACCGACGACGTTGGTGTAAACGCTCTGAAATTTTTCGCAAGTACTTGCTCAACTATACAGATAGTCACAACTATAAAATGAATGTGACGTAGTAACCATGGGTAGAAACAAAAGTGCCGTTGAAGAAGACCTGCCTTACGTAAGTTCGTCCAATATGAGTCCCTGAAAATTGGTTCTTTGAAATCAAAGTCATATTGAAGCGTTTCCGTTGAATACTAAAATAGTGTTTCTTAAAGGTTAACAGTGACCAAAATTCCCTTACAAACCACCCATTTGCCGAGAAATTCTTGGATCTGCAAGGCAGCATTCAAATTCAATCATTCAAATTTTCCAGCTTCTCTCGTTTTGGAACCTCAGCATGTAAGCTTTTCGTTTATTTAGCATGTGATGTTGTGCCTTATCAAAGATGGGACAATTTTCATCGGTCTGACGTTTCGACTTAATGGTCTTCTTCAGGGGTCCAAAAAGTTTTCGAATTGAAGAGATGGGTACTGTCCTTCCGAGCGCCTAATCCATCAAAGTTTGATCGATGCTGATCTACAGTAGACGCTTTCTCGATGACATGGTTATAACCCAGTTGAGAATCTCGAGCAACACGAAAGGAACACTCACATCCGCTCTAGACGCTGAATAATCCGACGCTGAATAATCCGTTATTCCATGTCATTTAGTAGCCAATGAAACTTGCTACAGCTCATACTTATACGTATCGAAAGGCGGAGACGTACGTAGCACTGATGACTACATAGCTTGCAGTACGATATGAACAGCAGAAGGTCACTTGATACTGACGGACGCGGTTGCCTATACGAAAAATTCTAACAGAAATCCAAAACGCGTCTAATGCTTTACTAGCCACAGTCTTCGTCTTCTGCGCCATTGTGCATTCATCTTATTGTTAGAGTTGTTGCCGTTATGAATCAAAGACCACCTCAGTTTTATGCTTGCAGTGCGCTGTCGGAAGAAGACCGCGCCCCATACTGACTAGGCGCTCTTTGATTCGCGGTTTTTTGGCGGCGGTCCTCATGTTTCTCCAAAGCATGTGCATTTGTATGGCTGATATTCGGTCTGGTTCATCACACCCACTTGCACGCATTACCTATTTTCCGACAGGAGGAGTGATACAATTCCCTAGTGTACACTGCCAGTCGTACCGTCTCTTTTAAACCAGTTGCTGCTTGATGTTACAGTTAAGAACGTTGACCAACAGTGTTTATTATATCGGAGATGAAAGGAAGGCATAGCGGTAATCTGTTTGGAAGCGATCCTTCTCGCATATTAGTGCGGTGTCTTACCACTACGTTGTGGTACAGTGTAGCCGTTGATGGCAGCTACTCGCAAGCTAGACGTCGTGATTCTCGACTCAGCTCAGCGTTCAGCTTCGTCGGGGGACACAGTTCTGGGCATTTTGTTGACAACTGCACATTGGACGATTTGTGAATGAGCTAACATGGCGTGAAATAAGATATTCCTCTTAGTTCTTCAACGGTACCAAAGTAGAGGCATTATTGGTAATCTGGCGACTCCTAAGACTGGAACAGAGCCTAACAATCTGCAAGTTGTACAGGCTTTAGAAAACTCACGTAGAAGGCATTGCTCTTAGTCTTGTTGTCCTGCTCGATTTTTGCTCTTGCATACGCCTCCATCCAGCGGTTCCACAGAACCTTGCGATTTATTTCGGTCAGGTAACTCTTGAAAATATCGAAATTACGCAGAAAAAAACAGCGTTCTGTAGCTGAAGTCGTCGCGGTCAGTCTGGGCGGTGTCAGGAAGAGTGGAATGGGTCTTGCATTTTCTACCATCAGTACCATTGGTCGGTTCAGGAAGGAGATAACAAGCGGTAGAAAACGCATTTCTTGTTTCCCATGCCTCCTGTCGCCGTCTAATTGCGACGATATCAACCGCATTCATAATGTGTTATGATGGCAAACGATTCGTCGCAGTTCGCGAAAGTTTTTAAAATAATTGTGGTTGTGGGGAAACCTTGTTCCTAGCTTGTTCCAGATGGGCCTGACTTCAACCAGCTGTTAGCGTATACCGTATCTCCGATAGGTTAGCCTCATACAATGCTCCGTGAAGAGAACTTGTACACTCATCTACTGCGATCGTGATCCTTGCGGTGAAAGGGTCCACAGCCGCAGTGGCGATCCATTTTCTATTCTCAAAAATGCACGGCACCAGAATGGATGGTAGTGAAGCCCGGGTATGGTCTCTGTTCGCTGCCCGCACTGCCGGCGGGCTTCTAACCCTAGCCAAAGACGCTACATGCCTCGCATCTGGTTATTCTCGACCTCTGTCTATGCTGACTACGGGATTTCGGTGTTGACGGAAGTGCTGCACTTTGAAGATAGCGCTAGTTCCAAACCGGGTACTGCGGTTCAGCCCGTTTCCGCGCGCTCTCAAAGCCGAACGTGCTAGAATTGTGAAGCTGCAGACCCGTTCCTCTTGAGTATGGGAGAGGCGTCTTCGGAGGTGAGTGTACAGTTTGCCTTTAGGAGAGATAGTCTAATGGTCAAACATTTGGTCTCTTTGGCCTGCATACTGGGATTTTATAGGTATTCTCCCACTACATGTTGTTGATGTTCCATGACTCTGACAATATGGTCAAATCCTTATTATTTCCAGACCTGCGGCTTCTTTCCACGACACTTCTGCAGTACTTCTTTTCGCGTCAACAGCCTTACAGGATCAATAGATGGCGCCATGTGCTGTGGTAGCAACTGGCTTGCAAATTGTAGAGCTTTACTGTAAAGCTGAAAACGACAGTAATCTCATTAATATATCAATATTCTGCTTGATCGTGTTCTAGTCATCTCAGGAAACCTACGATAGGTGTGGTGAAGACCAAGTGTGTAATACTGCAGGCTGTGTAGAGGAGCGAAAAAGCAAGAGCCGCTCTGTAATTCAAAAGTCATTGAAAAATCCATAGATCAAGTACTCTACTATTCCTGCCTAGCGTTCCATGACCTTCCGTATAATTCTGGTGCCAATCTACCGTCCCCGGAGGAAGGTTGACTTAGATAGCGCTGGCCGCTATGGGACTCGATCTCCGGACGTGCGGGTAGTAATCGGGAAATAGATGATGGCCACTACACCACCCATCGCTAGAGTTCTGTTCAGAGTCGCAAAAGCTTCGGATTCGTAGTTCCCTTGAAAAAGAACAATAAGTTTCGGTTCCACGCAATCAATATTGTTATCCTCCCAGGCGAGTATGTGGCGAAAAGGTTGACCGCTTCAAAAGCGAGAATTCTCCTCAGAGTAAGTACCTTCAGTCCTAACTACAGGAACTTACGACTAAAGAAGTATCAGATTGAGTCAAATAACTGAATAATCAGTAAACTATGGACGTACATGCTTACTGGGGTTTCTGAAACGAAACTGCAAGAGACAGCCAAAGAGTGCCATAGTCCGAGTAGCAACCATGAGCCGACGGTGGCGACGACCGCTCCGAGTTGACACTGCGGATATACAAAACTTTGCTAATATTGGAACAGGTAAAAGTGTGAAAAACCGAAAAGGAAAAGTAAGTAAGGAAATCGTTTACGTTTTTCGATATATATCTCCCGATTAACACATCGATGTCGTGAAAGCTGCTCTTTGTGAGGCTCAATTGTGGCAAACTCTTCTCCATGAAGAATGTATAATAGGAAACAGATGTAGTTGCAAAGGCGACACAGGTATTTAGAAGATTTATCGGAAGCCAGAAGTCTATTGCATTCATACTAAATCGTCCCATACAACTCCAGTCAGATGCAGCCTACAATATAGAAAGAATGGGAGAAATTGACGTTTTCTGCAACATAAGGAGCCGCTCGTGAAATACGCAGAGTTCATCCTCATTTACATTGCGCCCGTAGCCAGAACACCGTTGCCCCTCTTCCTTCTTCCCGCCTCTCTACGTTCTGGAAGAACGAGCAAAACAAAGCACATCAATTGTTGGGGATTCCCCAACAGGGGGGGGGTCGTATTTGGCCGCCAGGAGAGGGGGTCGTAATGAGTGCGGTAGCCAGTAACGAGCAGCGCAAAGGTGTCAGTGTGCTGAGTCCTGTGTAGCGAAACTTGCTTTGTAGAGAGCCCGGGAAAAAATAGTACAAAACTTCCATTGATTAAACTAATCCAAAATTAAAGGCAGCGCCCGCGTTCAAATTTGATGAGTATGCGGCTCAGGTAGTAATAGCAAGGTAGCAAGAAACCTATTAGTGAAGAAAAATCAAAAAGAA